GGAAAATAAGTTTGACATCGTAAGGTTCAGGGGAGGTCACAGAGCTATTGCGTACGGTATTGTGGGGTTTGAGTGGATGGTATGATGAACGACTGTAGTGTGTTTGGCATTGACAATATCATCAACGTTTTGCCCTGGTGATAATTAAAGAGTTTGTTAGATCATATCGAGTACCGAGTAGGGGTCTGTTTGGGGGTTGGGGGTACTCAGCACTCGATACTGATCTAAGGAGATTTAGGGGGTTTCGTGTATCATTGGCGGTATGTGTTGGTAGAGGGGCGATCCCCCTTCTGCTGTGCATGGGCTAGCATGCCCGGCGCACTCACTCGTTAATATACCAAGCGAGGTCTTGAGTCAACCTTTCTTCTCTGCGATTCTGACAACAAGCTGCCCGCCTCCAAACATGATTTTTTCGGCTCGGGGCCTGTGCTGACTTGCACGTCGTCTCTTGTTTGTTTCGGGAGGTAGATTGTGTGCGCGTTTCGAGTTCTCCGTCACCCAAGTGTTTGGTTCTTTGTCGTTTTGGGTATAAAACTCAAATCCTGGCGACATTCAGGAAAACGGCGGTAGATCGATCCCGTACCCCACCCTTGATAACTCTTGTTTGGGGGCGGTGGGTGTGCGACCCAGCCTGGGTCAACATGTAAAAATCAGGACGCGAGCTGAGCTATGAACGTATCGCTCGGGTTAATTAAGCGCTCCGAGCAACCCTTGCCTAGCGATGCTGCTGTTGTTCTAGCTGGTAGTAGGTGATGAGGGCTCGCCAGGAGAGCGTCAAAAACATTTCGGCCCCAAACACCAGCAAGTCAAATCGCCCTCTGCGCAAGCTGTTATTAGGTGTACTCAGCACTAGATACGGATCTACGGAGATCAGGGGGGTTTCGTGTATAATGTTTGTATGTGTTTACTGGAAGGGCGGGCCCCCTTCTAGTGTGCAGTAGGGCTTGCTTGCTCTCTACTCTTCACTCGTTAATAACAAGGTCTTGAGTCACCCTTTTCTCCACACTCTCTGACGCGAAGCACCCGCTGCCCGACACAACAAGCAGAAAACAAACTAAACACGGTGGTAATGCTGTTTGCTCCACCGGTGGAGTAACTTCATCATAGTTGCGCCACCAGGCAGATAAAAAAAAACAGGACTCAAAACAAGAACAAACCACACCTAACCTATACTACCAATTCAGCCTTGAAAAACTCAAAATCCAAGCACTTGAGCACCACTTACGAGCTTGGTTGAGACCTACACTAAAACCGATGTTGAGGCTCGCAGCAGCATTAATTTATTCTTTCTGCTTGCTGCGCTAAATTAGCGTTCTTCAGGAAGAGAATCTCTATTGTTGGATAGGGTGTGCGTGCGTTGATGCTCGACTGTGTGCCACCTACCATGCCCCTTCACCGGGTCTGATCTGGGTCCCGATTGTCTGCATCACAACCGCATCAGATTACTATCCTCGTTAGTTCCAATCCGAATAGGATCGGTTTCCGCTTCAGAAACTGTGCGGAAACTGCGGGAAAATAAACCAAAAATGTTCTTCACCGGAGATTATTGACTGCGGCCGATTTCTCTCAGCTCGCGTAAGCTACCAGTATGAGACCTCGAGACTTTTCCCAAGGAATTTCAACCGAGGCTACACCGGTGCCAAACGCAAGCATTTCGCCCACACCAACATCCTTTTGACGTCTTTTTAGTGGCTCTGCGTTTCTGTCTTCTTCACCGCGCAGTCCATGCCTTTTCGGGGCTGCTTACATCTCTTTCGACCCCGACGACAGCAGTCGCAGGGTCTTGCTGCTTTCTTCGCCTTCTTGCGACTTGGCATGATGAACAGGGCCATGCACGAACAACAACACGTGAGAAAAGATCAACAAAAGTTAGCCGTAGATTTGTTGAGGACGACCATCTCGCGCCACATCCCGGGCACAAGGCAACCCATTCACTGCGCCCCGCCCCCCGCGTCTAATACATGAACCGAGGGTTTCACGACACGTTCCACACCAACCAAACCTGCAACCGGGTGATCCCGTTTATCGCTTCTGCTTAGAACGAAAGCTGCCTCTCGTTTCGGGTAAAAATGCAACGAACCTTCTTGCGGTACACGCACGGAGGACGGCACCACTCCGGTCTACCGCTGCTGCTGCTGCTTAGGATGCGTCAACGTTCCCGTGTCAACTCATCTCCGGCTACAAAGGACCTTGCAACGATCCACGCGAACGCCCGCCCGATGCTGGCTACTCCTTGAAATCCAACAGAAAAGGAAACTAGAGCGGCACGATCGATACACACGCACGTCCCCTGTCCCCCCCGGTACGCTCCTTACCGCTGCTTTTGTCTCTTACGGGAGAACACACAATTAAACGACAGAAAAGAAAAGAACATCAATATTTAATACTTGTAGTCTATGGAGGAAATGCGCGACATCTATCCACCCCACCATCATGAAGTAGAAGAACAACCTAAGCCTCCCCATATTCATCCTCTTCTAGGATTGTGCGTGCGTACACGTTGTAACGGGGGCCAGCAAAAAATATGGATAGTTAGTGGGCGCAATCTGCCAAACAATGTCTGATCGGGAAACCGGGGGGGGAAACGCCGGCGGCGCAGCCTCGAGACCCCAGCCTCTAGATAGCAATAGCCTCATCGAGGACAAGCACGCCACGAGAAAATAACAATCTAACAACGTTCGTTGAAAAAAACAATGCGCCAAAAGTCCGATCTATGTGGTAATTCAAAAATGAAGCTCAACGATCGTTTTGTTGTGTTGCGTCGTGTGCTTCGTCGCACAGTACCAACATGACTCTTTGTTTCTACGGCAGACGTTTCCCTGCCCAAAAACCGACATGAACGTGAACGTGAACAAATCTAAACTCCAAGCTATCTATCGTTCATTGCACGTTCGAGACAAAAGGTAAAGTCGGGAAAACACCGATCGGCACACGCTTCGCTTCGACAGAACCGCGGAACATGCGAAACATCGACGCTCACATGACCCGCCAGAACCCCCTCTCACTGCATGCCGGGGGATGGGGCTGGCAATTCGGAACATCGATGACCACCTCACGCGACAACAACGACAAAAGAGGCCATCGAAGAACCATGCTCCTATTTATCTCTTCCAACATGTTCTTCTTATCTGCCCCCCTGCAAAACAGCAGTGTACGCTCGACTCGAGTAGTATCGCCGAGTCGGCCTCATCTAAGCGAACACAGGAAAAACGCACGGGGGTCATCTCGCTGTTGATACTTGGGCACAAAGAGCTTCTCTTCCTCCCGCACAAGGGTAGGTGATTACCCCCCCCCAAGAACTACGCTCGTGTGACGCACCGGGCGTCCTCTCGAGGGATTAACGACGTGTTACACCCACGCAACGCTATTCTCAAAAACATTGCGTATTTCCAGAGCAAATTCAACGTATCAACATCTCCGAAAATGAAAGGTTAGCCCATCATATTATAGAATGTGGTCGGGGTAATCACATACACACTCGCGAGATGGGAACACGACGTGGTGTTCAGCCGACAAGGCCCAGAAAACCCGATTGCAAAAAGTCGACATGAAAATATCCCCCTTACAATACTGCATCCACACCCTTTCCTCCTCCTTTATCTATCACATCACCTTTCCTGTACATGTAATTTCCACACCACGGAAACAGCGCGCGGAACAGGGGGAAACGCGTGCAGCAACAAGAGAGGGAAAAGCCACCTTATCTGACTATCTATCATCCGCACCACCTGTACCTACCTCATGCAAGCATCGAGAAAACCAAGGGTCATTGTAGAAGAAACAACGCTCTTCTCTCCACCTGGTTCTCCCTTTCCCCGCGTCTACTACTCCCAGAGAGACAAGCATGAGGCTCATCAAGAACTCGTGTTAGAATAACCCCTCGAGCTCCAGTAGGCTACAATAGGACGTCCCACCAGGCAAGAACAAACACTTTCACCCGTGCGACTACGCGACCCCCAATCGCCGGTTTCCTCACATGGTCAGCCCGAAGGCCAGGCTTCCCGTCGATCGACGAGTGATAATGAAGAAAAACAACCCCATCCCACTGCGGCGTTGCTAGTGGCTTCTGCGCCCTAGCTTTCACCGCCGTCGCGCCACGCCAGCACGGTACACACACGGCCGTCAGCGTTGTGGTAACTGTTTCTTGGTTGGTTGCCGCTGTGGTGATTCCCAGCAGTTGGCTTGTTCCCCGCTCCCGGCACGCTATTCACCCTCCACCCAACTCGTCTCGTGAGGAGAACATGTACACCCCAGCGGCGAGCGTGCCCGACCCCGACGTTGGAACCTGAACCGTCCACCGCCACCACTGCTTGACCAAAAAAAAAAAAAAAAAACGAATTTTCAATCAGCCTCCATTGCCCGTGGTGAACGCCGCCGCCGTCGCCGCCTCAGCGCCTCTCCCACAGGAACCTTCGTGAGTTACCGACGCTGGCACGGGCACCCTCTCGCAGCCGACGTCGGCTCCAAAGTCACACTTTTGTGTGGTCCTCTCTACTCGAAAGCTTTTATCGTTATCGTCAACGATGTAGCAGCTCGGCGACTGTTTCAATGCTCGCCAGACGCCTCCTTCGTATCGTCCCCTTCCCCCCCCCGCTCGCCGCCCGCCTCCTTGGCATCCTGGAAACCCGGGAGGAAGCCGTACGCCGCGCCTCCGGCAAATTCCACCGCCCTCGACACCGTCCACCATGCCATTCCTGTCAGGCCATGCGGACCGCTCCCTGTGTATCGGGATTTACGTGCGGAGCAACAAATGACAGCGGTTGATGCTTATGTGCGCCCGCCTCTATGTTTTGAGAACGGGCGGAGGGGGCCACTACGGTACACACGGTTGTTGAAGTATATCGCCGAAACTACTACCGACACTATTCCCGCTGCCGTTTTGTCGACTATGTAGTTGACCCCAGGAGTGTCGTCTCGCGCAGGTCTCACTGCGGGAACTCGATCACAAGGCCGCCACGAAATGCAGCACGGGGGTGCCAGCATACGGATTTGTGGACAATTTTGTCCATCCTATACGGGGGGGGGGGGCACGATCACACCAAAGTAAACAAGTTCTTGCCGTGACTGCCATATTGATCACGTGTTCCTGGCCTGCACGGTACAATGATGGCGACGACCACCACAACCACGACGGCGACAGAAATACAACAACAACAACAACAACAACAACAACAACAGCAACAAGCACCTCTCATTCATAATCGTACACTACACGAGCTGTTTACAGTTCGTCCTCTGGAGCAAAAAACATGAAAACATAAATGACAATACAACAACCAACGTCAGTACACAGCAGGCATGGGAAACGCTGGTGGTGCGTCTCAAGCCCACACCAACGGCTTGCATATACAACAACCGACTTACACGCCCAGCAGCAGCCAGGCGTGGGCACACAACACAATCCCTACCGACATTTTGCTACTAAAGTGTCGCACCTGCTTCTTGCGTCTTTCCCTCCGACTCCACCCCGGTGACTTCGGGTGCTACTAGCTGCGTCGCCTCCATCGATGCCGCAGCGTCGGTCTCCCCCCTTCCCTCCTCCTCCCTTGCTGCAAGTGATACTGCCGCAGACGCGGGGGTTGTGGTATCACGCTCATCGTTGTTGCTGCCGCTGCTGCCAACGATGCTGCTCTTGTTGCGATCCACGCTATGCTCTTCCTCTGGGGCTGTGGTGCTTTCACCCCCTTGACCTTCATCGCGACATGCTGAGGATGGCGTGTTGGTGCCCGCACGGGGGGATTCCCGCTGCTGCTGCTGCTGCTGCTGTTGCTGCCCGTCTCCGTTGGTAACGTCGTCCCCAGGTGGAAGCTGAGCCGCAACCTTGCTGCTGGTAGTGGTGGTGTCGTTGATGGTGTACAGAGGAGACAGCGACACGCTGGTCGGTCTTTGCTTCTCGCGCCGGTCCTCGTTCTCAGAACCGCCGTCGTCGCAATCAAAGTCCTCCTCGCTGCCGGCGTCTCCGATGCTTGTTGGAGCACCTACACTCGGATTCTTGGCTTCCATCGGCTGTCTCGCAGTGCCGGGCGCATCGTCAGCGACTGGAGGAGCCTCATCTTCCACTAGCACTCCACCTTGTTCCTGCCCTGTGCTCTCCCCGGCTTTGTCAAGCTCACCGGTGTTGTTTCCTCCGCTGCTCCCCTCCACCGCCTTCGACAGGGCACCAACCGATTCGCTCCTGCTGTGGTCTGACGACCCCGCCCGGCGACCACTAGACTCAACCCCTCCGCCGCCTCCACCGCCGCCACGACTCACATTGGCTGCTCCGTCAATAGTCCCGTCGATGGTACCGCCGTCGATGGCACCGTCCACAGTGCCGTCCTTCTTCGCGGCCAACGCTTCGCAACCACCACCCCCGCTAACAGAGTCCTCAGCCTTCTCTGCCGCCCCTCCACCGCCCCACCACTCCAGCACGCCGCCCAACACCGGGACCGAACCCAGCGCACCCCCGGCCACGTCGCCGATCGCCCCCGCCAGCTCGCCCGCGGCGCCCACCACGGTCCCCGCCCACGTCGCCCCGAACAGGTCCCAGGCATCATCGTCACCGGGGTCCCCGCGGACCGGAATCGCCTCCGTAGCAGCATCAGCGCTTGCCTCAATGGCGGCGGCAGCGGCGGCGTCTGCAGCGGGCAGTGCGGCCGCCGTTGGTTCTTCGCCGTTCGCCGAGCACCGCGACGGCGGAGAAAGCGGTGGCGGCGGCGGTGACGCCGACGGCGCAGGATAAGTCGCCGACGGCAGCGCTGCCTGTGCCTCTTTGCTGACTTGCGCCCTTACCGACACTGCCACTGTCGCCTCTTGTGGTGGTGAAGGAGGTATCGCTGCTTCTCTATCCTCCGCTGCCGCCGTTTCCGCCGGAGCCGACAAAGCCCTGGCGCTTCTACCCTCTTCGATCCCAGCAGAAACTCCGCCCAAGCCCTCACCGTCGTCACCGCCGGCGGTGGGGTCTGGGGCTGCGGTAGGGGCAACAGCGGTGGCTGTCGCCCCGGTAAGCGACCCAGAAGAGCCAGCCAGGGGCCGAGCCAGCCCGAGTCCGAGGCTGTTGTTCGTCCTGCTACCCGTGAACCGGCCGGGGTAGGCGGGACTGTCCGCTGATCTCGGCCTGATCAGGACGATGAACGCGAAGCGACGACGACGAGATATGAAACGGAGGGAATCACGTTCGTCAGCCAGCCTGAACGCGGTTGAGACATTTGTCCTTTCCGAAGGGTGCTTGTCGGGGGTTGCATCGGCTACACGCCGTGCCGGAGCTCTGCTACTCACCTTGCGTGCGACCCCGGCTGGTTCGTCAAACATCTACCGAAAGGATCAGAATGGTGCCCACCTAAAAGAGATCCGGCGACAACAAACACAACTTACATGTAAAACCGGGCGACGAGCTAAGCAACAGGCCGCGCCTCGTGTGGTTGTCCGGGCTCACTCACCTCGAATACGCCAGGTAGTCCTTCAGCAAGCGGGGACGCCCACCCAGGACACGCTCGGCTCCAATCCTCGCCGCCAGGCCTGCACGAAAAATATCCGCCTGGTCGCGACCAACGGGTAGCGAGCTCTTCGGCACTGTCAAGGCCTGGATTGGGGGAGGGCAGCAGGCCAACGCACAGAGACGAAGCGCAGCGTTGTGTGCCACAGCACAAGCTTTGGAGCCAAGCAGAGGGTCGGGCGTGTGTGTGTCAACCCCCTCCTCCGTCCACAAAAGGGATGCGTTTCTAAAGCCCTTCGGTCGACGATCACTCGCACGCCGCCATCGAGCTGGAACGAACGGGCCGCAACGAAGGAGCACGAGCACGATAAGCACACACCGACCCGATCCTACGGGAAGCGCTTTCGAAGGACGCGGCACAACCAGTTTCACTCGGCTCTTGTTGCACACAACCTCTCCCTCTTCGTGAGCTGGCAGCCGTCACGCCTTCTAGATTCTTCATGAATAATTTCGACCGTTTCTAACGACTATTCAGGGTCCTCCTTATGATGGCGAGGGGTTTGTGTTGCCCCCCTACTCCCGCTAGCTCGGCACGTTCTGGAGGGCTCTCTCAGAAATAACCCTTGACACACATCATTCTCGTCGCTGCCTCCTCCCTCTTCCTCACGGATAGATAGATATTGGTCCCTCATTTTTCCAAGAGGAACCACAATGGCAAACATTCCCATTCACACATACCAAACACCCCGCGCGACACCTGCCGCGGTGCACTGCGTACACGCCCAATAGGTTGCAACCGGTGAGTTTGTCTAGCGCGTCACTCCAAAAAGACCTGGCCACTCACCGCCTCGGGTCTGCTCGCGCGAGGAGCATCAGCAGCACCTGTCATTGCCACCCCCGCGTCAACCCGGTCAACGACACGAGGACTCGGGCTACCGCCGCCGCCGCCGCCGCCGCCGCCGCCGCCGCCCGCGGGGTCCTCTCCGAGCTTCTCCGCAAGGCGTACCGCGTTCTTCCAGACGTTCTCGAGAGGGGGATTGGACTCTCGGAGAAGAAGGGATAGGCGGTCGGCGGCCGCTCCTGCTGCCTGCGTCCGCCGCGCCAGCGGCGGCGGCGGTGGCGGCGGCCGGTGGTCGCGTTTCTTTCGGGTTAGCTGTTGAAGGGAAGCGAGCACGGCGCCGACGCGGTTGGGAAGTGGAAGGTTCGAAACCATTTTCGCAACTATCCACCTGGACGGCGCACCCGTCTGAGACACACTTGCTTGGAGTTCGACCGCTTGGGGGGGAAAACCCAGCCACGACGCTCCAATTCACGGGAACAATTCACATCAGATCCGAGCGCCACAAACCTTAATAGCTACTGGCAAAGACATCGAAAAGCGAATTTCGTCTACAGACCATTCTGGAGAGAAAACCGTGCCCGATTTGTCGTCCGGCAAGTAACGGGATTAGTTGCTTGCCGACGAACGGTCGCGAATAGACCACCCGCCTGTGAACATGTACCCCTTATCGGTAAATGCTGTCGTGTATTGGACATTGGGCCCAGAAAAGGACACCCGCACGACAGAAAAAACACCGCCATATGCAGCTCCAAGCGATGTCGCAACACGTTTACTCTCAATTCTTAAAACTGTTCAGCGCGCTGCGTGCTCAGCTAAAAATCAACACCTTCGCAACGTGCTGCTTGGCGATGCCCTTCTTGGGTGTGGTCAAGGAGCTTGATTCTTCCAAGCGCGCGAAACCGGATTGGCCTAACACCCTGTCGTGTCTCGTTGTTGTTGCCGTCGCTTCTCAAAAGCAACTCATCGCCAACACCCTACCCTACCCAGCCTGCGGCCGTCTCCGGAGGCGCAAAGGTGTCCAAAGTCGTACCGCACCTGTAGTCTACGCAGGTTTTTCCAAGTAAGCAACCACACTGGATAACGTAAAGAATCGGCTAAGTTGGGGGTTAGGGTTAAGGTTACGGTCTGCGTGCCCCCTCCCTGATCCTTTTTCGTAATAAACATACTTTTTTTTTGCGTAGGCAGTCCTACCGCACCCACCTCTTTCCGCAAGACGCGAAGCCTCCACACCTCCACCGCCGCCGGCCCCGCGAGGGCCACAAGAAACGCCCACTCCATCCACGGTGCCCCCCCGACCAACGACCGCAACAGCAAAAAGACGGACGCGCACAAGGTCGGACATGCTCTCCAGAGGAGCGGCGCCTCCGACGACACGAGCACCCATCCCGGGCTAGCAGACGCAGGGTTTTCCACAGGATGCCAGAGCTTTGGCACAGGAGGCTGAAGAATCGAGGGAGGGGCGGGGGGGTGGGGGCACTCATGTTTTACATGCCTTAGGTGCTACCTGACCATCGACCACGCGTCCTCGAGAGGCAGGGGCTCCCGGGGATTCGCTGGGCAGTGATTGGATGGTCGGTTTTCTGGACGGTGTTCATCTTCACTCCCACATGGAAGGCCGAAGCAGGCTTCAAAGCTAACTTAGTTAGGGCGGTGGTTGTTAACCTTCGGGGACGACCTGAAAAGCGCGACATCTTGACCTCATTGCGATAAAATACCACCTACCACGAAGACCACGATCACCCCCACCACTGCGCGATAAAACACCCCCCACAAGCAGGAAAAATTGCCGAAACTTATCACACCCGCCCCCTCCCCCGGTCTACAATTTTAACGCGGTGTGATACCAACGACAGCACCGTCGTATGACCGCGCGATAATAGATGAACCAGCGGGAGAAACGACAAGCCGTAGCCAAAGCCACCCCGCTCACCTCACTGCCCCTCCCTTCCAGCCACCCCGTGAGCGCCTCTACACCCCCCGCCGGAGACGGCGCCTCCGAAAGCTCCGGACTATCCCTCACTCCATCCTTCACAAAAGTGTCCTGGATGTCCCCGCTGCTGCGACCCCGGCCCCCTCCATCGCCGCCGCCGCCGCCGCCGCCGCGCCTACTCGTACTGCCGAGAAGCCTCTCCCGTGCGATCGACGATACGGCTTGGACGAGCATCTCGCGCACCTCCGGGGCGGAGAAAGTCGGAGGCTGGGACCAGTACTCGACCAACCACCGGCCAGCGGCCAATTCCAGCAGAGACTCGGGTGAGAGCTTCTCGATGCATGGGGCGTTTGTGGGTGGCATGTTTCCGGCGAGGTTGGCCGGAGGGCGGATGGTTCGGCCAGGGGTAGGGAGGTTTGGCGGTAAGTGCGGGTAGTGAGAAAGCGTTCATGAAGAGTGAAATTGTCCATGTAGATCAACGCCCATCGTTACAGCTGTAGCCGAGAAGTATCCTGGTTAACTCGCACGCTAAAAAAAAAATCTACGTGGGCCAATTGAAGCGGTCGATGTCACACAAACATACATACACAAACACACGATCTCAAGAGCGGCGATCACCTCGTGGTTGCTGGCCTCTCCAAGCGCTTTCTGCACCGTAGCCACCAGGCCGTAGCGGACGGCCCCTTCGACCCGCCTAGCGGAGAGCCCCCCCAGCTGCCATGCCGCCAGCGAAAGTAGCACGGAGCCTAGTCCCTGGCGGACCACGGTCCTATCCCACTGCTGCTGGGAAAGCGCTCCCACCGCCGTCAGAAGCAGGAGGGCGTGCCAGGATGCCACGAGGCACCTGGTGGTGGGGTGCACGTACGTGAAGTGGCGTCATTTAAGAGACTGGTATGCATAGGGAACGACAACAGCTGTCGTCCGGGAGCGATCTGCTTTAGTCCCGTGAAAAGAGACGCTGGACACATCGGACCCGTTCAGAATACATCGGTGAGTCGCCGTACAGCAGCAGATACAACACAGCCATGGAATGCGCCCACCAGGGTTTCAACGACATGTAAGCCGATAAAGAGGAATCAACCCCCCCTTGACTCATTCCCATATGCTACTTCTCATGTTTCGAGCTTCCTCGGGACAGTCTTGTCAACCCCGGCCTAACGGACACCGCGCAACTTGTAGCAACGCGGCACGTCTTCCACGCACCTAAACTTGGCCTCTCCTCCTTTGAGCTCCGCCACTCCCGCCACCACCACCGACGCTCCCACCAGACAGGCGTACACGGTCGAAGCGATAAAAAGACCCACGGCGAGCCAGGCGCTGCAACTCCTGCGAAACAACAAGACCAACACCAACAATACAACGACACACGCGGGCGGTGCGTATTACCGTACATCTACTCCATGAAGGCAAGGGATACGCGGTTCGTGTGTACGGCGCACACAACGCAAAAACAGTTTTTCCGGAGCTCTGCCCTTGGACTCCAAAAAGGCCAAAACGCAGAGACTTCGCCCGCCTATATACACGAAACTACAAGCAATAGGGGGAGCGCGATTGGGCCGGAACACTCTACGCTCCTCGTGCGAGCTTGCCATCGAAGTTGTCATCCGCAGGGGAGGAGAAAACGGACTTCGCCACGCATGCATACCACCAACTGCTGCGCCGCAATCCAGCCGCAGCCGCCTGCCCCCGCGCTCCTCTAAAACCAGCCAGAACACATGAACACAACACCGGCGGTAGTAAATCAGCGACACAACCCACCTCGCCGCCAGTCGCAAGAAGCAGAACTGGGCGGTCGCATCCAGCGCCGGAGGCGCGAGGGCCAGCAGCACCACCAGATCCCGCCACTTCCTCGCCGACACTGCTGCTGTGCTCTCACCCTCGCGATGACCGCCACCGACTACTCCCTTCCCATCATCACTCTCAACTTCGGCCGCCGCCGCCGCCCAAAGTCGCCCCGCACCCCCGCGGCGGCGGAACCTCGAATTGGTCAACTCCGCAGGGGGGGGGGGGGGCAGCAGCGTTGTTCGCATCGGCTCCGAGCGTACCCAGAGAGCTGCCCCCGCCAAGAGGACGATGCCCCAGAGGGCGAGGAAGAGCATGAGGCTGCTGCAGCTCACGGCAAAGGAGCCGGCTAGCAGGAGCACGCCGTTGCGCGCGCGGGGGGACTGTTGGTCCATTTTTTTTTTAGAAGCGATGGGTGGCGGGAGGGGCGGGTAAAGGTTTGGGGGTGGGTGGGGACTTTGTATGTAACGGGAACTGCATTGTTGTTCTACATACCCATCGACCCTTCGAATGACAGGAGGGGGTCGGGGTCGAGCCACCAGTGTGCTCCATGCCCCCTCGTCGCATTGGTACAGCGCTGCAAAGAAGGCGAGCATAAGTAGTATAGCATGGCCTTTTGCTCCCCTCCGATTCACCAAGCTGAGAGACCCGTACCACCCCCAAGAACATATCCGGGTGGGTGCCCTCTTTCTCCACGTTTACCCGCGAAACCCTTGCACCAAAGCAAGAGGCGAGAGTATCCAAGCCCAAGACCCGACTCAAAAATCTGACGAAACGAACGCACCGCCAACAGGTTCCCCGCCGTGTGTTGCGCGACGTGACGCGAGACCGCAGCCGCGCAGAGCTTCCGAGTCCTTCTCCACTGCCTCTGCCGCCGCCGACTCCCCCATGAGGACGCCACCCCCCCCCCAATACTTGGCCTACCCGCGGGCCCCAGAGATGATGATTGCCGCCGAGCGAACATCCCCGGCGAAGAAGACGTGTTGAAACCGGCACCGCCGCTGGTGCTGCGGGAGCGCCGCCTGGGGTCCCCCCCGTCCCGCTGCCGAGAGTACGGCTGCGGGGAGGGGGACGTGGCCCGTCGCCTCAAGCTAGAGCCCCGCACAGCGGTAGACGTGGTGCCACCGCTGCTTCTGCTGCGGTGTCCGATCCGTCTCGCGGTGCTGTCGTCGACGGGAAAAGCCCACCGAAGCTCGCGGCGGGTCGACGGCAGCGGTTGTTCTACCACGCTCGGGGTACTCCTTTCTGCCTCCGCTGGCGTTGATGACCGCCGAGAATCGACAAGTGGACTAGTAATGTTTCCTGGTTGGAGATGCGAGCATCGAGGCAGTGAAGTAACAAGCATCAGCAGGAGGGAGGGGGAGGCGGGGGCGAGGACTGAGACGGAACGCGGGGCCATTGGCAAAGGTTGCACATCGGATTTTCTTCACGTGGCCTGGACCACAATGCCCTCAGTGTGAACTGCTGTGTTCACGCACGTCTGGTACCGACAATGACTCGTGTGCACACATGGTACACGCAGTGTCAACTGCCTTTGCCTTGTCTGCATCGTCTTGTACTGCATGCGTTGCCACGGAAGCAACAGCGATATAGTAGTGATGGTGGTTTTTCGCCACGTGGCTGCAGCGAAAGTAGCACGACGTACATAAGGGTCCTCCCCAAGTTGTCGATTAACCCGGGCAACCGAGTACATACGTAGCGCTCGACATCAACCGCACCTTGTCGATTGGTGGTACATCTCATTGTCCCTCTTCATCTGTATCTCTGCTCAATCTCTAGTCCTGTGTTGTATCTCTGCTCTATCTCTACTTTCCGCATCTCTCTCTCTCTCACGGGCAGTGCTGCAAGTGGGGGTGGCATCCACCTATAACAACAACAGCTGTGCAGAGTGCAGTCGCATCGATTGTATGTATCAAAATGCATACCAGGCGTGTTCGTTGCAGTGCTGGGGTGTCAACTTCATCAAATGTGGCACGCACGTGAAGCCTTCGAGGGGTGAAGGAGTCGCGCAACACGCCACGCCAGGAGGGACGTACGCGCGCCTCTCTGTCCTCAACGCTCGTTGGTATGCATACTATACAAACAGCAGTAGCAACCTCACGAACCAAGCTGCAGTGCAGCAGTTGAACCTCTACGACCGGTAGTTGAGCCGCTGCGTCTTTTCCGCCAAACAGGTGTCGTGTGCAGAGTGCAGAGATGTGTCAAGGGTTCTGTTTCTCAAGGGTTCTGTTTCTCTACCGGGAAGGACCTACCGTCGGGGACTCTACTCAGCTAAGCGATCACCGAGTAAGGCCTCGCGTGATCATTACCCCTCTACACTCGAACCGAATCGGTCTACACGCCCTACGCACGGTTCTACGGTGCAAGCCATTGGTCAGTCCAAAAGTCTGCTAGTGCGGCAAGAATATAGGAGGGCCGATCTGCTTGGAAACGAGTTTCATACGCTCCCCGCACTATACCTTGGTCAAGTCTGGCATGGTGAAGGCTGCTGTCATCGTCATGGAAGCGTTCCACCTCCATTATGCGTGCGCGGCGAGGGCGAGAGGAAGATAGAGTAGGGGGAGTTGGCCCAACGGGAGAACAGCAACACGCGCACTCGTACGTTTGTCTTGCGTCAAAACGTCACACCGGCCTTTCAATGTCAGGACTTGGACATGCCCCATCAAGTCCAGTCTCCAGCAGATGTAGTTGAAGCGTCACGGCCAAGCGTGGCTTCTTGCTTGGAGGACTGCCTGCCTCGGAGGGTATGGGTGTGCGCTCTACAGCAGTACCTTGCAAAACTCTTCTCTCTTATTGCGCAGAGGAAGTCTGCGCGCCTTCACTTACGCGGGTCAATCAATGTCGTCACGCAAGCCCAAGCTCTCACCCATCATGTACAATGTTGGCACAATTCTCGCTTGTTGGTCTGTTGGATGGAGTACAAAATATCGTCCTCGTCACCAATCGGTCACGTGAACTCAATCCTCGTCTTGCCATCCTTACTATTCACTCAGCACTGCATATTACCGGACAGTCTCCCTCCTCGTGTCCATTTGTTTTCCAATGGAGAATGATGACGCGGGGGGGCTTCAAGATATTGACTTTTAGGTGTTCAGCGATAGAATGCAATTGGACTTGCCTGGTATTGCGAACGAATTCCCAGCTCACTCCGCAGTGAAATTAATGGTGCCACACAAGAAAGCAGAGCTAAAACGCACTCAAATTAAATGCTATCCGTGTTCCGATGATGATCAGAATTAATTACTGATGAACAACAACAGCAGTACAATATAACACATGCTGTGTACGCTAACAGCAGCTTACAAAAAACTATTATTATCTGTAGGCAAAAAATGACTTCAAAAACAACCTAACCTCTTGATGCCACACGTCATGTCGACGGCCACCTGCGACTTAACATTGCACCAAAATGTTACCACCCCAAGCCTTAACAACTCGCCATCCTCAACCACAAGATGCGTATCATACACACATTTCTTACAATCTTTCCCCTCCCCACTAGGTTCAACAAAAGAGAGCCCACCTTTGTTAGATGTACAGCATAAAGCATATCCACTATAGCTACAAGTCAGCTGTTAACGTCTTTCAGGCGTGTATCCCAGACTTTTTCCCGGAAAAAAGGCGTCACAAAAATCGTCCACGCCGGTTGTACTTTTGTTACATGTAGATGGACACAGCTATCCACTACGCTACAAGTTAGCCGTTTACGTCACTGCCCGGCCAAAGCATGAAACACGATTTTTTTTTTTTAACAAACAACTGGTATTCACCAGAACCGTATCATCTACAAGTACGTTCTTCCGGGGAACCTCTGACGCTCGATGCCAGTACACGTGTACTTTCCGAGGGAACTTTCCGCATCGCGCATTCTTCAAATATCAATGCCCCTTCCTGTCCGCTTGGCGCTTTCGTTTCCGGTATTTCAGCGCCGCTCCGAGTATTGCGGGTTCGTAGGCACCCATGGCGTGGTCGGCCATCATGCTGCTGTTGAGGCGGATGCCTCCCAGCTCTTCCGAGCTCGTCTTCCGCACCGTCACCAAGCCGTCCTTTCCGGCCGAAGACTCGCTTCCCGCATCCCAACCTTCCAACAAGAACACGACGCCCGGATTGATCAGATCTCCGACCGTCATCGTGTCGGAGGAACGGCGCTTGCCACCTTTCGGCCTAACACCTTCCCGTTCGCATCTCTCGACCATGGGGAGCATCTCATCAGGGGAGGGTCCACCCCCCGTCGCTAGCTGCTTGAGGAGCAAGAGAGTCAGGGCGACCTCGTCGGACGACATGCTGCGTACTCCGTCCGTGACGCGGCTGACGTCCTTGTAGAGGCTTTCCGCCGAGGATCCCGCCGTGTTTACGGCGGCGAGCAGGCTCTCGGTAGCCTCCCCCACGTCCTGCGTGAACCTCGCCCACTCCTGCCCAAACTTGGAGATCGTGCTCCGAACGACTTGCGCCCTGATGGCGCTGAGGTAGCTGCCGATGCTGGTGCTGTCTTCCTTCTCTTCCGTCCCTTGGTCCTCCCCTTGTTCGCCGCCGATGACCTCCTCAGGGAGCTTGCTTCCTGCTTCCTCTTCGTCGTCATCATCATCGTACTCATCGTCCGCGATGTCGTAGGCGTCGCCAGCGAGGAACGCGAGGGAAGGGTGCGCGCGCAGTCCCAGGATATCGCTTGCGATCTTGCCTGTTTTCCGTCCGGCCGTGGGGTTTCGCGTGGGGAGAGAATCACGGCAGCAGTTAGCAGAGGGCGCCATGAGAGTGATACGTGATTGTCCTTCGTCAACTCTATGTCACCCTCGAAGGCGTTTGACAGCTGTAAATACGTGTGCACAGACCCGCATGAGATTTCGTCCTAAAGACTGCAAGCATCCTTCGTCGTACATTGCTGTCTCTACCCTCCCGCATCAAATATGTGGCCGCCTGTTCTCAATCTGGGCACACACAGCAGCGAGTCAAATGCGCATGACAGGGTGTTCTTGGTGGACGGAAACCAAAACACCAACAACTTTCGAAGTGACAAAAAAACAAAACGGGTCGTTGCTCGCTCACGTCTGTCATCCTCGTTCCCCGCCGCCCCAAGCCCTTGCTCGCTCTGCTGAACGCGCACCCGAGAGTCCAGCACGAACTCAGCCCGCTTGTAGACGTCCAGCGGGAGCTTGTCGACGTGTTGGATCGTTCGGCACAAGCTGTAAAGCGACCCTAGGCTCATGGTTGGAACGCAATCAGCCCTATCGTGACGCCGCCAAAACCACCGCCGTGCGATCGCACGGGAAAGGGGGTGTTGCATCAAGCTGACAGCGGGAGATGTGTTTCGCTTGGAGGAGGGGTCATCAGAGAAAGCAACTTTGATGGTCTTAACATTCCCATGCGATTCGAACATCGTGTGGGCCATTGTCTATACATAGGGTTGCGTGAAAAATCCGAAACTCTTCTAAAAAAACAGCCAGACCGCTGACGACAGCCATTCTCGTGACGAACATTGTCCAACATAAGTTGTGACTCTCGGTAGCGCTGCTCAAGGCTTGCTATAGCTTTCGCAACCGGCATCAACAACAAATAAGACATCACTGTCGTTTGACCTCCGCGGGTCCAGCTCCATGTGGCGCCTTGTTTGCGCACAAAAGAGCACGTCGCAAGCACGACCGACGGCATGCTTGCCGTAAGACCCTACTCGAACGCACTCCGTCTCCGATCTCCTGCTAGTGCGACAAAACATAGATCCTACCAAATCACTGCTGGGGCGAAAACCACCAGGTGGTGTACAAAACCAATCGTTTCGGGGGTGGAGGACACAACCTGGGGGATGGACGGGCTGCCCTTCGTGCAAGCCACGCGTAGGCCGCGAGTTTTTCGCCCCTTCCCTACTTGGCTCCCCCAAGGGAGTGCGTATCGTGAAAGCAACGCAAGACTTTACCACTTTGGCTCACCCGTTGACGAAGGAGTACACGTCCCGCATCCATGTTGCCCCAGGCACCGAGAACACCGGCGGCGGCGCAAAGGCGTAGCACTCCACGCGCACCGGGCGGCCGACGTCGAGCCTTGCCGTTTTTGCCGCCGTCTTGTCTTTCGCGAGTCTGAAACCTCCCTTCAACGCCTCCATAGCGTTTCGCTCCAGAAGAATCTTCAACAAGATCGCCGTGCCCGCTCCGAGACTGTGCCCTGGAGGCAAGGCAAGGGGGCACGGTTTGGTGTAGAGGGGAGAGGGGGGGGGGGGGGGTTGCATGCTGATGGGTGGGAGGGACATATGCGGGCCACACTGCTGCCGTCGTCTCAGTGCAACGTGGTAGCCGACAACATGAACGACCTCGTGACGAGAGGCTATGCTTGTGGACGAACGTCCGACTGCGGACACACGCACATTCGACCAGGCAATTCACTGCTGCTGTCCTTGCGGTATGGTTGACGCAACCTGACGCGAACTGTCTACATCGCTCCGACATGAGCCGTACACCGGATTTCAGCCGACGGTTTTATCTGTGCCCACTCTTGTGAACGCCCTCACTCCATCCCCGAACCGAAGATACAACCCTGAAGAGCCTGACAACAGGATATCTGCGCACCAGAGCAGACCCGCGATTATGCCTGGTATCAAGATACGCATAACTCAAAAGGCGTTCTCGCTTCGTTCACTACATCCTCGGGTTCGCCAAACATCCCCAGCTAGGCCCTACTCTGTATCGCAGCCGTGAGGCGACAGCACGGCCTTGCTATCCACCATTCCGACAACAGCGCACGAGTAGCACACAGAGAATATTCGCCGTTCTACGCCCTCCATACACACCGACTTGTGCACTGGTTGTGGCGGTGGCTTGCGATCGACGTGATTCGTCAGCCAAAAATTGGTATCCTTCTTTTCTGAAAGCGCGAAGAACAAACACCAGGAGCAATAGGCCCGTGACATCTAACAAGATGCACAACAGACATGCAATCCCACAGTCACCTGTCAGCACCAACTTGTAGTCGCTGTGTTCCCTGAGCTGCTTTTCCACCTCCCCTCTTACAGCCGTCCACACCCTCACGGCGCTCTGCGAGATTCCTTGGTGTGCCTTGCCCCCTGCAAAGTCTGAATTGCAACAGGGCGGACAAAAAAAAACAAAAATACGGTCGTTAAGCAGAGGTCCATATGACGTAGAAACGAGGCACCAAGCCGGCCGACACGCCGGACCGTCTCAGGGAGAATAAGGATACATGCGAAAAAAAAGTAAAATCGTAGAGGAAATAGTAGAGGGCAACACTGCAAAACGGTGCTGGCATGCTGTGTGATGCTCAAGGGTTCCGAGAGTTCCTCTAACGGAATTATTTGCTCGTGCGGCCAGCGCCTACCAACCGCTGCTCGGGCCATCGTTGGTTCAACTTCCCTCACTCGCGGGTCGATTAATAGTTAACGTAAGAAAGAACCATCGTGATTTCCCCAGCCGTTCAACGGTACACGTCTTCGCCCTGGCCGTACCGGTCAAAGCAAGACCCGACGAAAACACGCTTAACCCGCCAACAACGTCCCCGTGCTGCCCAAGATGTTCTGAAACGCGGACGACTGGACGACTGGACGACTGGACGACTGGATGACTGGTCCAAATTAGACAACCGAAACCCCATGCCGAGTCCAGATCTTCGGACATACAAGCATAGATTTACACAGCCGCACCCCTGGCGCTAGAAACGACCAGGTAACCCTAACCCTGCCCGTCTGTCTGACGACGAGCTCACCGACCGTGTTGCACAGAAGATCCACCATGGTGTCTGTGAAGCTGTACGTGCCGCGGATGCTGATCACCACGGAGCGGGAGGCGTGGTCCACGGCAACGAAGTGCGTTCGCGTCTCCAACGAGTCGCTGGTGGCTAGCTCCTTCACGTCGCTCGGGTCTACGCCCGTGCGCTTGCTTATGCACCACTTTCGGAGGTCGTCATTGCTGCGTCATAAAAACGGGGTCGCAAGTGTTATATCATAGCGTCACATCAAACGCCGGAGTATATGGGATCGCTGCCAAAGGGTCGAATCAACGCAAGGGGGCAAGGTGCCCTGGGCGAGGACAATACACAAAGTGGTGCGGGCGGCTAGGTTTCATCCACGCTCCGCCGGGGGTAGTGCACTCAATGGAATGCTTCGAAACAGTGCGCTGCTGCAGTTTGTATCAGGTGGTCTATTAGGGTGTACGGTCCTCCACGTTCCATCGGCTATGCATCCAGTAGTAGCGGACATCGTTCAACACATGCATCTCCTGTACAACACGGAGACGACCGACGGTACCTCGAACGCTAAGAGTACGACGCCCAAGCATCGACTGGACACGGCACCTCTCCGAATGGGAGTGCGGGTCTGATTTTGGTGAGGAAAAGCAGGCACGGCTAGAAAACCTGTCCACGGGCAGCCGGTTAACGCTGTCGGCGTTAGAAACGCATGCTCTTGCGGACTCGTCCGAGACCCACAGTGCACACCCATTCACGGACAGAAGGTCCCCAAGCAAACGTTCCGCCTCCAGCCCACCGTCCCAACTACAGTTCCTTGAACGCAACGCTTCCTACAAAATAATTGCAAGCTGTTCGCTTCGGACTAAATTCACGTTGTAGGCACCGACTTTGTCAAAATGGTGTTGTCGCGGGCAGGCGCGGGGTTCTTTCCTTCTTCCCACCTTTTGGCAAACAGGTCGGGGGGCGGCAGAGTATCCCCCTCGGCCAAGATTTCTTTGACGGTGTCGACCACGCCGTCGTAAGAGGCCGCCGCGAAACGCGCGTAGTGGGCGCTTTTTCGCAGCGTCCTTCGGTCTCGGGGGCTAAGATCCACCCGGGGCCTGTTCCGTGCGGACGTTTTCGCCGTCCGCGATCTCCGGGCCAGGAGCTGGCGGTCGTGCATGGCTTTGACCATGAGGAAGTTCAGCGGCAGACGCTTCCCCTCTTCCGCGGATATTTGGATGTCCTGGCCGGCAATGCAGCAAAGTGGTGGTCGTTGCTAATTTACATGTGATCTCGGTGTGACGTATTTTATTCTCCCGGCGGTTTGTACCTGTGATGCCTGACTGAGTGACGTGGTAGTTCTTGATGCATCAATGCTCGCGGGGCCAACACCAGAGACGGACGGGGATGCTTCACGAGGGGGTTCGAGAGCGGCATCGCGATGGGCACTTGCGAGGCATGCGTCAGCAACAGCCCTGCCCAGCAATGTGATCGTGGAGATGTCAGATGGATACACCCACCAATTCGCGAACCATGAACAATTGCAACTGGTTTCCGCACCTCACTACCCGCGTCCCGCAAATCCTTGATCATGAGTCCCATGCTCTCCGCTCCGTCGGAAGGCACGAGCCACTCTGCGCGAGCGATGGTTGTAGAGAGGGCCGTCGGCGTTCTTTGAAAATTTCGTTTGCGGGCCAGATGAGTGCTATGCTACTACACAGCAGCAGCACTTTAAAAAACTTGGGGTTGAGACCTGGTGCGGGCTGGCCATCCTATACACTCATGTCTTTTCTTTTACGTATGCATACAGTAGCGGTCCTGCTGTACTCTGTATACCATGCACGATACCACTATTATAAATAGTATATGTAGCTGCACACAAGTTGAAGGCGACCACAAAAGTACATTATTCTATTTAAGATGACGTTGTCGACTTGGTACTGGTTTTCTTACTAGAATGTAGAATGTTCGGGAGTTGGATAGGAACGCTTCAAAGAGTTCTTGAAGAGCAAGGGGGTAACATCAGACATCAGACAGCACCCGATCTTCATCATTTGTTTGTTCCATCCATTAGTCCTGGAAGGAAGGCGGTGGGTTACAGCATACAGCGGTTTATTATTCCTTAAAACAGCGGTACAATAACGAGGTCCACGTTTGTTTGTCCAACCAAACAGCACTTGGGTCATGCTTCCCACACTGCCACAGCCCACCAACCACAACGCGCACCTCGTAAGCGAGAGTACACCTCTTGTGTCACCTGCCCCCACGAACGACGCAACCAACGCTCTACTAGGGCAATCACATGCATCCACCTTCGAGTTGCGCTGCAAGCCTTGTCGAGAGAGTTGTCTCATCGGGCTTGGGCTGCTGCTGGGCTCGCGCGGGTGCAAGATATGCAGCAGACAGCGCGCCCACCGGCACCAGCACCCTTAGCGAGCGGAGGCGGTTACTCATCCTAGCCGGACGCCCACTCCTCTTGTTTGTCCCTGTATCAAATCGCAAAGGATAGCTCGTCGTCCTCGGCGAAAACAAACACGCCAGACTTCCCAGTTGGTCGGTCGAGCTACCAGCACACGCAAGCACACGCAATGGAGGGAGAGCGGGGGGAAAAGGCAGCAGCGCCGAAAAAAAAAAATGGGTTCCGGAAGTTCTCCTTCTGAATTTGAATCCGAAGCTCGCGATTCCATTGGACGCCAAACTTTCGAAAAATAAAAAAAAAACAAGCGAGAGATGAAATCGGGCGCGGTGGGCGGTGGGTTCAAGGGTGCCACTGCGCGCACGACATCACAACCTTTGTGCCCACCTGCTCTCTCGCTGGCATTGAATCGAACAAGCCCTTTTCATCACCAAGGGAGTACCAAGCTAACCTCTGGGGGAACAGCTGTGCAGGTGAGCTATTTCATACGACACCCGGGAAGACAGCAGACGCGGTAAAAGAGAAAAGTGCGAAAGGTTGGCTTTGTTGATTTTTATGGGGACCGTGCGCGACTTGCCTGCCCGGGACACATGAAAGCGCAGCACAGAGCAGCCGGAGCGGTAGGAATAAAGCATGATGCACCTTTGCCTTAAGTTCCCTCCACCCCCCACACGCAGAATGGGCGTCACCGATGCCCGTCCAAGCGATTGCGAGTAGGTGGCGATAAACATTTGTCTGCTGTGGTTGTGCTCCAATGTTCCACCATCGGCCAATGATGCCCCGTTCATTGTTCTATCATGACTTCGTACAACAGCTGTCGACCGACTCCTATCTTCTCTCCGTCCTCCGACCAATGCCCTGCCATGTGCCATGACTACCACAAACTCTCCCTCTTCTCCACCCGATGCATTACCTTGCTGCCGCCCTGCCAGACAAGCTTTTTATTGGACCCATGTCTGATACTGCCAACAAGATGGGGAAAGATGCTGCCCGTGCGGCAGCAAATGATGTACCACACCAGCAGCTGCAACAGCAGCAGCAGCAACAGCTTGTTGACCAGCCTTCAGGAACTATTGCGAAAGAGCAACTTCTGTCTCAGTGCGAAGGAGGAATGACTCGGGTTCTCGGCAAGGAAGGTACGGGGAGTGCGTCTCTACGCCCTACCAGTGTTGAGAGAGCGAGATCGGCAAAGACTTTACGTAATTTATGGAGAAGGAAGTTTTCATTTTTTCTCCGTGGGCTCCTGCAGATCTTGGAGGTCTTACTGGATTCTCTACATGATCCGGATATCTATGCGTAACACTTTGCAACACTATTTGTTGCCCTCGTGCATCGTCTCTTCATCGAGAACGGGAGAGAAAGATCGGGGGGGGGGGGGCGGGGGGCACAGGCGCACTAGAGTATTGAAAGTCTTGTTGGGTAGTCGCACAAACTTGCACACGATGCACGAACGGCTCATGGTTTCGTGTTAATCCAACTGCGTCATGTACGCATGCCACCGCCTTCGGCAAAACAAACAGCCAAACCCGCCTGCGTCTCTAGCCTTGTTGCTTATCTACAGAGTACACGTATACATAGGCGGTGCTTAGCCTACCGGCTGGTGCCCCTCGGCATTTATCGTGCACACCACGAAGACGTGGTAGTCCGGCTAGAGCAGTGAGATGTGCTAAGTAGTTGTTTAGATACATGCGGGAAAGCGAGAAGGCAAAACGAACGGCACTCGATGGACATCAGCGATCGCCGGCGTGCCTTTGAACGTTTGTTTGTAGTCTACGACCCGTGCTCGAGATGGTGCTGCGTATAGCAGACGGGCGTGTTGGGGGATGGTGACGAGGGCGGTAAATCGACTCTACCCTAAATCTGACATGGTCAAGGGCATATTGATTCGAAACCCACCTTCCAGAGTACGGCGGAACTTATCGTGGTACCATCATTTTGCAGTAAGACGGTCGTTGGAAAGCCCAGCAGCTCTGTGTTGCTCGGGCCGTGCTACCGTGCTACCGAAGGTGGTGGCTGGGTACAGAAACTCCGCACAACATCTACAATAGATCCCAAACCAGACGTCCGACGCCGCACTCGCCGCGACGAACCCCCGTCCCCAATAAACTGCGGGTTGTTCAAAGCCTTATTCAAGGCAGCGATATGTTATCAATAGCGGCATGAGCTGTGCTGCCGGAGGTCCGCTGGAGATTGGGTCTGTGATCTGTGACGGAGAATGCACCTGCCGAAGATGAATAATGAACTTTTCAGACCGCAGCTGCACAGAGGTAGCCTTCGTTTGCACGTTTGCACAGCCCGAACAGCAGATCTGACGGTGGCAGCTAGCAGAGCAGTGCTCGTCCATGATACCCTCTACTTGTACAACAGCATTCATTTCAGGTCGGGACTCAGAGGACGTAAAGACGGGAAGACCTGTGTTGATCACCGGAAGGACCTGCTTTGTTGACCACCCGCCGTGTTGAATCTTTGTTGGCTTGAAATCTTCAATATCTTGTCTGGCATACAAATTGTGTTGACTTGAGACGTGGTGTGCGCAGGTGGGCTGCATTGCACGTGGTTAAGACAAGCCCAACCCCTGCTCTGTGCGACCCTCAATGCATCGTTTTCCACCCTTTCTGGGGTGTATCTTGTACATACTACGCGGCTTCAGGGCGTTCTTTCGGTCGTTTTCCGAATCAGTCCAAGCAAGTCACATCAGTCCGAATCAAGATGAAGCAGGTTTTTCTTGGGTTCTGGAAGGACAATAGAAGTATAAATCATCGAGGCCTACGGTTCGTTTCCCAGAATCTCAGAAAAATATTAGCCAAGGGCGGGGAGAACATGCCCACAATCTTCGCGCTGGTCTGGTTTTTAGCATTCGAACTCTGATTGGCGGAGTTGGGGGGAAACATCACACGTACCGCAAGTGTTCGGGTTGTGGCACGGATCGCCGACACCGCACGGGTCGGGGTCTTGGCACAGGGCACAGGGGGTGCGGGAACAAATCGGTTTCCAATTTTAATCATTGACATCGCACGTAAAATATTCGATGCACCCATCGGGACGCACATAAGCCATGCCCCACACCTATTTTTTACCGAAGGAACCACCCAAGCAAGAGGGACCTACATAGGCCTGCACAACCTAGCACCTACCCACGTCGACACCAATCTAGCACCTATCCAAGCAATACCAACCTAAAGATTATCCCATCAATACCAACCTAGCGCCAATGCCGACACACCAACCTAGAACTGAGCCACCCAGCGCCAACCTAGCCCCAATGCCGGCGCACCAACCTATTAGAACTGAACCACCCAACGCTAACCTAGGCCTGATGCCGGCACACCAACCTAGAACTGAGCCACCAAGCGCCAACCTAGCCCCAATGCCGGCACACCAATCTATTAGAACTGAGCCAGCGCCAACCTGGCACCTACTGGGTGGGTTTGGCGTTAGGGTTAGGGTTAGCGTTAGGGATTGTAGCCGATTTCATGTAAGTTGCTGGGTGGAGGGACAGAACACTGCGCCTGCCTGTAGTAGAGCGACAGGTAGAAGAAACGTATACATGTTCGTGACTCTCGTTCCTCACACAGGATTTTCGTCTGTAAAAAAGGTGTGGGTACATGGCTTCTATGCGTCCCTGTGGGTGCATATAATTTTCTGGATATCGCACGGGTACACAGGTATCATGCACTTCGCACAGGGGTGTGCAAAGATCCCAAAGAACCTCATACCTTTGGTGAAGTTGGGCGATACACGACGGTATCCAGCGTTTGTCGCGGGAAATTGCTGTGCCACGGGAGCTTGTATCATCGGCTCCACTGTGGTTCTTTGGCACCGTGATGATTTAATAGACCTATTTCAAGCAAGAGCATTGTTTTAACATTGTTATTACTATCGAAATCGTCAAACGTTGTGAACCGAGAGCGCGTGCAGCCACACGAGAGAGACCAAACGACCACAACCAACTATCAATGTCACGAAAAACAGGCAGGATACCGGGAAACAATGGGTATACCTGGCCAAGGACAGCTTAGGCCAATTGGTGCATCCCCCGTATGCCACGACCTGCGTCGTTTTCGTTCGTGGCACCAAACCACCCCTCCTCTACCGGCCGTAACCCACTGCAGTCATAGCGTTCTAGCGCCAACCTGCTACCAACTGGCCCACGTGAAAACTCTACTGGCAAACACCAGAAAGTTCGTTGTGTTATGATCCTGTTTTGCTGCAATATCGTACACACAGGTGCTGGTGTGTGGTCGCTGTGAATTATTCAGGATCGCATATATCGGAGTCTTGGTACGGGGGGGGTGCGTTCAAGACAGCCTGAAATCGCCGCTTTGTTAATATTCAGAATCGCACGGGTCGGAGTCATGGCACGGGGTGTGAGATATTGGTTCAGGACCAAATGTATTACTTCATTTCCCGCACATTTCTTGGCACGTACCCGCGTCTTGGCACCCCTGTGCGATAAACTCTGAGAGCAAAAACAATAATGCCAATGACCGCACAGTGTGCGAAGACCTGCGTGCTTACGGCACTATGTATGGCGATCCACTTTATCGTTCCTCATACATCAGCCCCAAGTATCTCTCCCTTCCTCGTCTGACCCCTTTCTCCGCAAGTTTCTGACGTAGCCCCCTGTTGGATCGGTCTGGAGCGATAGCTCGTGCGTGGACATAGCCCAACCTACTGTTCGAGGGTGGATATGGTAGGGGAAAGTTTTGTGCTTGTGCTGTTATGATGTTTTCAAAAAGATTGTTGTACATCATGCATTTTGCAGACCTACCAAAGGGTCGCCTAACCTCCGCTGCCCCCCCCCCCCCTAAAGTCGTAGAGGCAGTTGGAAAGGTGTACAGGTGGGGAAGACTTCGGTGTTGGGGATGCTGTTTGGGATGCCTGACACCCATGACTTCAACTCTAGATTGACGCAGGGAAGGATTAGCCGACAAGTGGAGGTTGTCTGCCAACGTTTCAAAGTGTACTTCAATGGCTAGCAACGGGGATAGTGAGCACCCAGTAGAGCGTAGGTGGGAGTGGGGGGTGGAGGAGCTCCCAGTAGTGGATCAGTACACGTATCTCGGAGGTGAGGTCGCAAAAGACTGTGCATGGAATGCAACACTTGTTCAAAATAGCAGAAAACGGGCAGAGCGCGAGTAGAGAAGTTGCACCCAAAACTCGCAAACCGGCACCTGGAATATCGAGGGGGTTCGACATTGACTGACGTGATACAATTGGAAACGGTAGGGCTAGAGGGGATCAAGAAGAACAAGTCTGTTGCTTGGCCGAGAGAAAAAAAATAACCTAACCAAAGACACCAAGGGTGAGGAGGGGCTAGAGATGTGTACGGAATGTTAATAGAAGGAATAGGTTTGAGGAGTACCTGCATGGGCAAAAGGATGCGGGGACAAGGCCGAAGGTCAAACTTAGGACTGGGGACAACAGCCTTCGAGAACGTAAACGAAGATTTAGGAAGGCAGACGAAGACGACAACAAGTTATGTGTGAATGCGGTTCCGAGTGCGAAGACCGGGTTCATGCTGTTGCACGATGTCCGTTTTACGAAAAAGGAGAGAGAAAGGTACATGGGTGCGCCGGGAAAAATGGAAGGGGGTCGCAGAGAGATATTTGAGGCATGGAATACCAGGAGAAGACGAGGGTTACACTGGGGCATAGGAAGTGCGTTGGAAAGGCAGTAACTGATATCGATTAGATAGATAGGGCGGACAAAACATATTTGAGCCACCTCTGGCTAAGTAGGTAGGAACGATTGGCCATCGGTGATCTGTCCTGTGGGAACGCGTGGTCAATGATCTAGGCGCTAAGGTGTGCAAAATATGTACGCCCCCCCCTCTCCCCAAAATGCTCGAAATGCAACGCGTTTGCAAAAGGGTTTCGTGCGGAGATCCCCTTCATGAAGGGTAACATCTCCCCCTCGTCTGTCGCGGACGATTCCCTCGTTCACGTTCGTGCTCAATTGATTTTTTTTGGTTTGGGTAAGACATATCTGCACCATGGCACATCGATTTTCCCCCTTTCCACCTCCCAGCCTGGTACTAGACTGCCTAGCCGGCGTACTTCACAATCAGCAAGAGTTATTTTGACACATGATGCATGCTACATGATGCCCTTCAACTCATTGGTCGGTTTGTATGAGACCTACGAAGATTTGAGGAAAACCTGAATACAAGTCCCTGTAACTGAAAGAAGGCGGTGTTCGTGCACGGCGTATGGCGGGTCGACTTGATTGGTCACGACATAGCAGTGGCGATACAGCCAGGATGAAAACGCCCGTCCTGAAGTAGATGGCACTGGTAAATATACCTGTGTCGGTTCGGCCTACTGTGTCAGTATACTGGGGACAGAGCGCAGTGTCGCAAGTCGGCCGTGTTTGTTCTTCAGCAAGCCTCTCCGCTCGCTGCCACTGTTGCACAAATGCAACACCGTTCATTTATCACCCCTTTCTGAGGTTGCATTCGAGCTCAATCATCATTCAGCGGCAGCGGCACGGACAGTACAAAATAAATAATACTGACCCGAAAGAGTTTGCGTGTCGGAGGGCGTACAGCTCTGTTGCTGGGCCACCTCATGATATTTTGTTGATGCTTTTCAAGAAAAAGTGAAACGTCACGCATCAAATTTATTCCGGATGCTGGGGTAGAGAATGATAACCCTCTCTTTCACACCTTTCGAGAACCAGTTCCACCGAGGAGCTTTCCTTGGCACAGTCGAAGGAACGAAACTATCAGCACATAGCAGAGGTGTCGGTGCTTTTGCTTTTGCACGTTGTACTGGTCCCCTTCTCTGGCTGGGGCGTTCCATGTGATTTCGAAAGAAGAGCTGACGCATTTGAAAACACATCGAGTTGGTACTGAAAAACCACAGACCCGGGAGGTTTTTGCTGTGGCGGCGTGGCCTAGCGACGGACCCGGAAATGACTCCGGTCTTGCAGTTTTATTTCTTTGTTGCGATACATATGACACTCGCGGTGGGCCCTTCCTGATCCTTGTGTTACATCTCGTAGTTCCTGCTTATCGAATGGCCACGACTTTTGACAGCAGTTCGATCTCGGGTTTTCGGGGTAAATGGTGGGTGTTTTGCTCGGTTGTGGGTTTTGCGAATTTTATGGCCCTACTTGCCACACCAGGATGGGAAAACATGTTGCGCTGATCGTCATTTTTTGTACTGCGATTTGCTATCCTTTGGATGACTCTGCTGTGGGTATGTGATCGCAAAATATCTGGGCCAAAACGTTGGAGTAGGTTAGTTCGAAAGACGCACAAGTTGTCCCGGCACGTCCATTTGCATGCGCATATTGCACTGCTATTTTTACGATCGCGGTATACCTTCTCGCTTACCCTCCTCCGCCCATGCCCCATCCACCCGTCCCCCCCCCCCCCCCCCCTGTCTGTCATGTCTCTCCTGCGACACAGGCATGCCTAAACTGCCTGAGTCCGAAGACAGCAGCGCCAAGGTTGACTTTAACTCCTTCAGCTCTTCGGCGGGCGTCGGGGCCACGCTCAACGCCACCGTCGTTACCGCCGGTCACGAACGCCCTGAACCCTCCAAGATCGCAGTCTCCAACGACTCCGCCTCGTGGTCAAGCAGCCGCCTCACTTCGCCGCCGCTGCCACCGCCACCGCCAGCGTACGACGACACCCTGTCAATGCCGCTCTCCCCGAGGCGTTACCATGTGAGCGCCGCAGCTCCCAAGCCTGCTCCAGCCACCGCTGGCGATCTTGCCACTGCTGCTCCCCCGTCATGCGCTGTCGCGCGCGGCATGTCTGAAGCGACCGACAAAACGAATCCGTTGTCTCCGTCTACTTCACCACGTCATGAGCAGCCGGGTTCGTCTCCAGAGTTTCGCATGACGATGTCGTCTGGGGCAGCCGCCACGATGCCAGCTCCCACCCGCGCTGCGGCTGGTGCGGCGGCCGGTGCGGGGGGTGTCGTGCCCCCGCCCCTGCCCCATCGGGCGACCGTTCTTCCTGCTTTGGAGAAAACGGATGAGCGCGGTGTTGCAGACGCGACCAAGGACAGTGGCGACCTCGCTGCTTCGACGGACCAGTCGGACGAAACCCCGAGCAACATCGTCCAAGAGGTGGCCGAAGACATGGGTGAGGGCGTGGCCGACATGATGCAGGCCATTCGAGGCGTGTTCGGCAGGGGGAAAAGTGACGACGGCGATGATGCCGACGCGACACCACCACCGCCGCAGAAGGTGGTCTACGGTGGTGGTGGCGACAGTGGCACCCCTGAACAGAGAGATTTTCCTGTTTCCGCAGTCCTCAGTCGAGGTGAGGCATTAGCGCTGCCGCACGGCCTGTTGTGCTTGGCTGGCGGCAGCACTGGTAGAGAGCGAGAGCACCTCAAACGTTGTTCTTGCAACGCCACCCCACTCCAAGCCTCGCCAGGAGGAAATGATGTTTTGCTATAACCCCATCGACGTTCCCTCGCCCCGTTCCCCCCTGTTCCTTCTGTAATGGTGGCAAAAGTTCCCATCCGTCGTGATAGTCAGTACAATCACGCCTCAAAGCCCGATCGAAAATATTGCGATAGTAGCCCCGCCCCCACACATTTTTGATTCACGTCCCCCATTGTCATGAACCGGAGCACACTATTTCACCTCGCTAACAATAACGGTGACACCACCGCGACATTAATACTCGCTACTTCTAGTATTGTAGAGAGCACTGGTTCGTGGTCGACCTCGTTAGATCAATCGCAGCAATAAGTAGGTGACACTCGAGTCCCAGCTGCATGTGCGGTTCCTTCTTGTTGACCGAAAATAATTCTTTTGCCGAAGTGTCCCCGCCTTTGTACACGCCAGTCTTTTTGGAAAATATACGTACAATCACAGAGAGACTAGATGTGTACCCGTTTGAAGTATAACCACAATCGAAGGGTGTGTGTTGAAGTCTTTCACGGTGAGCGGGGCAAAAACGGCCGGATATTGTTGTTGTCTTTCTTTGAATAACCGTTCCAATCTCTCTACCGAGCGCCTTCATCTGGCCGTTCTGATCAAACTGGATACTGGGCTTAATTTTCTTCTTTGTCACAGAAAACAAAAGTCATCAGGCTCAAGCCTTGGGGACGAACGTGCTGAGACGCTGCAATGGTACATCCAGCGTGTGAGGAGCTCTGTTGATTCGTGCTCTTATTTTCGCGAGAGGTGTTTGTAAGTTTAAGTTTCGTCTTCGGGACACAAAACTAGCAGCAGCAAGACAAAGTTTCAGGCTCGTTCGACCTTTTCTAGCCAAGACACAGTCATGAGAGCGACGTTGGTACAGCCGTGACATTTTTCTTCGTTTTTCCCCCAAGTGGCTGAATAAACTGCAGAGAGAACAGGTAGTAAGTAGAGTCGTTGAGTCCACGTGTCTTAGACCATGTCCTCGTAGAGCTCGCCCCGGTGGCGATACACTATCTATACGCGTAGAACACGCCGTCCTTAGTCTCGTCTTCGCAGCTAGGAGTGACGCGTTGAGGACTTTGCACTCGATTCTAACTCCCGGACCACAGCAGTCCTCGATCATTTCTGTTCGATGTCAATTTTCGGTTGTGTGTTCCTATCATCCAAATGCCTGCGAATCGCCGTCGCAAATACGGTATTTTCCACCAGCCAATACGTTTATACCACGCTCACATACCAGTTTTCATCAATCAGCCTGTCTTTGTAGTTGTGCATACCCCATGAAAAGAACGCACCTCGTCACTCTACCTCGGGGTGTCATCCGCCGCAATATTTCGAGAGCGTACGTAGGCCCTACGCGAAGAATCACTGCAAACTCTCTGCTTCGGCTGCGACGTGCCAGTGTTCGAAAGCGATGATAAAAGCCGCACTCCGGCTCGAAGGAACCAATAAACCGGAAAACATCCATACCTTATTCGAAATTGCCAAGATATTCGCAATGCTCAACCGCGCCTGAGCCTGCGTAACCCCCCGTCCCTTATCATAGCCAAAGTGGCCTTCCGAAAGTAACGCATTACTATGTCGCCCTCCCCCCCCCCTCTTCCGTCCTACCTCTCCCTTTCCGCCATCCCTGTGTCTGGTAGTCGAGTCTCCGGAGCCGTCCTCGTCCTCTTCCGCGCCCTCTCCCGTGCACCTCGACGGAGGCGCGGCGTTCTCCCGCGTGTTCGGTGCCCTGAAGGCTGCGGGGGTGGCCACCGACGGTGACAGCAGCACGGAGATGGGCGACGAGAAAGAGCAAGACGACGAAGCCGGTAAGGGGGAGGAGGAAGAGGAAGAAGACGAGGAGGAGGAGGAAGAGCAACCGAAGGGAGAGGAAAAGGAGGACCTCGGCAGTTCGGCCGTCTCAAGGCTGCGCCAGATGTTCGAACGCTCGGACGGGAAGAAGAGGGCGATCCTGGAGGCCGGCCCAATCCCCGGGCAGGCGGTTTCGACTATCGGTGAATCTACCGGCGAAGACGAAGCTGCCGGGGAGGCGACGGGTGCGACGGGATCACCACAAGCCTCCCCGAAAGCTGGAAGCAACTCGGCGGAAGAGGAGGGGGCAAACGCCGCGGGGCTGGCGGCCGAGAGACCGGCAGCATCTGCGGCGTCCGGCTTTGGGGTCTCGGTCCACAAGTTCTTCTTCGGGTCTCGGACTAAGAAGGACGCCGCGCCGAAGGCTGCCGAAGAGCCCACTCCTCTAGCGGTTGCCGATGGAGCGGTGGTGGAGCCCTTGGGCGTGGCCGGGCAAAAGGAATCGTCAGAGACGGGACCGTTTGGCGACACGAAGCAGGCAAAGCTCGGAGGTTTGCCGGCCGAGTCGAGCACGAGCACTCAAGCTGTTGCACCGGCCGTGGAACAAACCGTGCTCCTGGCGGCGAAGGACGTCTCCTCTGTACCGGCAGCGATTGTCGACGTGGACTCGACACCTCAGCTTGGCGGGGCGGCGTCATCTGCCAGCGTGCACCACTCGTCGACGGAACCGGCAATCTCGTCTGGTGCTGCTCAAGACAAAGCTGGCGATCGTACAGGCGAAGAGATCGCTGTCGACGTCGTGGCGGTGGAGGAGTTGGCACCGGTAGCTGAAAAGGAGTCCCGACAGAACCCACCAGGAATTGTGGGGGCCCCGGCGGTGGTGGGAGTAGCCGGGACGGCAGGTCAGAGCGAAAAGCCTGCCGCCGACATGTCGATGCTGAACATGGCTCAGGCCTCCGCTGTGGAAGGTGCCGTGCATCCTGATGTGCCGGAAGAAAGGATTGTCCCTGAGGCCGCTGAAACGACCGTGACTGCGGTGGAGGCACCGACGGCAAAAGCCTATGATGGAGAGGCCACCCATGCCGCTGCTGTTATCGCGGCGCAGACCAAGGAGAAGATTGGCGCGTTTGAAGTGGCTCAGGTCAAGTTAATCGAACCAGAGATACCTGCGGTGGACCCGCCGGTGCCTTCTGATGTCCATGCAGTTGTGGCAGAAGGTGTGTCAGGTCCGTGTGCGACTGTGGGAGACGAGTTGCCAACGTTAGGAGGAGTGGGACAGACGACAGGGGCGTTACAAGACACTCGAGACGAAGCACCGCTCCAGGTGAAAGAGAAAGGAGTAGGCTGCTCCTTCAGTGCAACTTAATGCCCGCATGCATGCACTCGGGTGCACTTCAGTATCTTGCGGACCGGCAGGACTTGATACGGGGACTTCCTGGGCAATGTTTTCAAGATTGGTGAATCGTGTTCTCAGCTGGCTGAAGGCCGTCTGGGCCTTCCCACCAGAGCTCGCCGGCCAGTATTCGTTGCCTTACTACACTATTATATCCCCACGCCCAAGAGACTTGTTGTCGTCGTTGTTGCTTCTTGATTATGCTGTTGGTTGTTGCTGCTGCTGCTGCGGTTTTCTTTGATGTCTAGCCATTATCTTTCGAAATGCCGAACGTCTCCCGATAAAACTCCCCATTGGTTATCTATTAGAAGGAGAACCCAGCGGCCAGAATCGAAGCATTTCTGGGGCACACTGTTTTTCGTTGTAAGTTGCGCACTCCAATAGTTCTTTCGCTCGGCACGCCACCCACCATGCCCAACTCTCCCTTTTATGGGGCCCTCTCCTTGGCGTCCCGTTGATGCTTTCTCTGTTGATGGTCGTCACAGATTTCTGCTCTTAAACTCTCTCTCGTTTTCTCCCGTTCTTGCACCGTCCTTGTCACAGGGAGCCAACGGCGAGCAGCAAACGGTTGTGGCAGCTGTGGAAGACGCAACGACCGCTGGGGACAAAGATGAACCGTATGTTACTGCGGCGGAAGAGGAGGGGCCGCAGGATGGAGACCTCGCGCCGCTCTCTTCGGCCACGTTCGACTTTTCTTCACCCACCACAGCGACGAACGACGGGCCTTTGGTCGAACCTAGCGGGAATGTACCGGCGATTCGCGAGGTCGCGCCGCCACCGGCGATAACCGAGGGCATGGTCGCATCTAGCGGGGATGTACCGGCGCTGGAGAAGGCCGCGCCGTCACTGGCGGCACCCAAAAACATGTCGTCTCCGGATTCCGATTGCGGGGTAATCGCCCCCTCGAGGGCCGGTCCTCTTCCCGAGGTCGCGGCGAAAGCGCCGGACACGGCCAAGATCGGCGGATCGCCAACGAAGACCGTTGTCGACCAGCTCGCTCCGGGTGGTGTGGAGGAGGCGCTGTCGGAGGAAGGAGAAATCGAGCATCAAACTCCTGCCCCCAAGCAGGAAGACGCGCCCATCCTGGCGAGTGCGCCCTTCAATGGTACTGCCGTGAGCGAGCTGGAAGTTTCAGCTGTACAAGCACCGGGCAAGATGTCTCAGGTGCAAAGAACGGAGCAGGCGGCATCGATGGTCGAGGATGTTGTCGCTGCTGTGGGCCAGGTGAGGTCATGTACGGGTTTCTTGTTGCATGTGGGGTGGGGCAGGCTGCTTGCGTGTCGAGCGGTGGTACATATGTCTTCGCTGAGAGGTCTGCCTGTTCGTGCGGACAGTGTTCCATCACACAAGTTCCACGCCCAAACACCGACGTCGTTCCAACTCAATGGCCAGCGTGATCGATACCAAACGAACAGAGTCACTCACAAAACACTGAACAAGAACACTAAAACCAAGCACAGGCACACAATAGCTAGATTGTCTTCTATCAGACGAACTCATAACGCCTTCAAACGCCATGAACTACTGATCGACCAAATTCCACCACGGTCAATCGGCTGGGATTTCAGTACTGCCGGCGAAAAGGAGGATGGCGGTGATGGCATGAAGGGGATTACATCTTTGGCTACCCAAGGACTGTTGTTTTTCACTCACGCGAAGTATTATCAATACATCGCATAAACTCTTCCCGTGCGCACGCACAAATGGCTTTCGAAGGAGACTGTTGTTTTGCACTCACGCGAAGTCTTATCAATACATCTCATAAACCCTATCCGTGCGCACACACAAAGACACCCCGTTATACCTCCCACGTTTTGTCCACAATTGGTGGCATACCGTATAGATAGATCCTCAGGCTATAATAGTTGCTGTGGTTGACAAAATAATTAGCTATTTACCCGATAGACAGCAAATCATTGGTTGCAGTGGTCAAGGTATTGTGGGCAGTAAATGAGCTCGCAGCTTCAGGAAACGAGGCGAAAAGCCCCACGGGGACAGGGGACGCTATGCTTTGCCGGAGTTCCAAAGCACCAGATAGGCGTGGACAACATCGGGTCTTGCGTTCACAGTATGAAATCGAGCGCCCTCGACGGAGTGATCCTTCAAATCCCGTCCACAGCACTGGCTTCGGAAAGCGAAGCTTTTCTGCGTGTGCTTTGTGAACGGCCCAAATAACGTGTCTCGCTTGTGAGTCTGTGCCACCCTGAATATCTTCCGTGCAACCTTGGCAACCTCTCTGCCTCTCTCTCTCTCTCTCTCTCTCTCTCTCTCTCTCTCTCTCTCTCTCTCTCTCTCTCTCTCTCTCTCTCCCTCTCTATCTCTCTGTGAACCATCAATATTCGATCTCCACGTCAAAACTTCTCATCCTACGACAACCCGTATTTTCAGGAGAGCGATATCGCGCCCATCGAGGCTGCGGGGGTCATTCCGGCGGAATCGCAAGCCAAGCCTATGGCAACGGTGGAGAAACCGAGCGAGGACAAGGAGGTGAACGTAACAGACGCCACCCCCATCCTCAGTACTGTGGCGAGGCTCCGGTTGATGTATGAGAAAAAGAAAGTGAAGCGACCCCCCGTTTCACTTTCGACGCGTAAGGTGGAGAAGGACGGAGCGACAGAGCCGATCCAAGTTCCCGGCGAGGTTACATCTGCGGCGGCGGACCCTGCTCCGACCGTTGCCGCTGACGACGTTGCTGCCCCAAGTCCTGGGGAGAACACCACCGCCCCCGATATCACCGAGGGGGACACGACCGATGGGAACGTGCGCGAACCTACTGAGGAACCGGATATCGCTCGAGACGAAGAGCCGGTCAAGGCCATGGATCCTTCTGCGATGGAGACAAAGGTTGAGGGTCCCTTCCCCGAGTCAACAACGGAGAGAGTTATCCCCAGGATAATTGGCAGCGGGCGTGACCGTCCCGCAGTCCTGCCGAAGGACGATACACCGTCGGACAAGGCCGAGGAGGGACCTCCTGCTGCCGTGGCTGGTGATGTAACATGTGCATCTGGCGATGAATCACCAAGCTTAGCCATCCTGCACCCCGAGGCGCGGCCATCCTACGGCGATGCCACTCAACCTGCAACGGAGGCTGCCACGGGATTGATAGCGACCATCCAATCTTCTGGTGGTGGTGACGCAGACACGTCATCGGCGCGCCTCGAGGACAATTCCACCCCGGTGAGCATGGGGACACCGGGGGCACTGAACGAAGATGGTGCTGCGGGCGAAGCGACGATCGAGGCGAGTGTCAACATTCTCTTGTAGGCGAGAAGGCAGAACGGCTGTTGGATGTTGTTCGTCTCGTGTCCAGTGTGATGCGGTTTGTTGTCCACACTTGGTGTGCTTTTTTCCGGCCGTTGAAGGCCAACGCGCGTCCTTTGTCTTGTCCTCACCAGTGGGATGCTGGTACCAGTTGGTGATGTCCCCGCTGTCGCTCTTTAAAACCCTTCGACCGTGTACATATTTCTGCAGGACGTCGGTGGCGCACCCTACGAGCAACCCACTTCGGTGGCAGCAAGAGACGCTCCGATCGATGTTGTCCCGGGGCCTGCCGTTGCCGACCCCGCTGATTCTGTGACAACCAAACAGAGACCAAAGAAGGCAGACGGCGAGACCGCCGGGGACGTTCCGTCGAGCACGGCTGAAGATGTGCATGCCACTGAGAAGGCGCCGGTAGTGGCGGGGTCGGTGTCCGCGCTAATATCAGCGCTCGAGGAGAGTTCGGCGGTGCCATCGGCGGAAGAGGCGGCCGCCCCAGTCGTGGGCGAGGTACTGCAGTCTGCCACCGACGACCGTTCTCCTACAGTTCCTGCGGAGGCGACGTCCGTTGTGGACGGTGCATCCGTGGGCGTTGAATCGGCCGCCGTGGACCCTGCTGTATCCGTGGACAAGACGGCGGCCCCGATTTCGAGCGTATCAGGACCAAGTCCGGCTGTCGTAGACGAGGTACCCGAACCGGCGGCGGCGGCCGAGGTCCCATCGAGTACCGGCGAGGTCACGGAGGAGCCAGAGGGCACGAAAGCCGACGGCTTGCCGTGCTCGACGTTGGTTGGAGAGGCAAGTGCTGCGTCCATCGCCGTCGATGAGCCGGTCCTGTCTGGCCCAGGTGATGTGGTGCCGGAGGCTGTGATGGACGTGGCGACGCCTGTGTTGGAAGTGGAGCCGGTGGCAGAGGTGGGCGAGGTAGCGGCCACGAGCTCTGATGCTGGTGCTGAGGAGACGGACTCGTCTATGCCAGCGCTCGTGGACGATTTGTCTCCAGCGAGAGAGGAGGAAGCAGAGACGACTGAGGTGGATGGCGGTGCGGGCGAAGCACCGATCGAGGTGAGTTTGTGAGGTGGTTTGGGTAGAGGTCAGGCTTGGTGGGTTTTGGACGTGGTGAATCAATAGGGAAAGCGGGTGAGGCGATGTGTAGCCATCGTTGGGCCGGTAATATTGATGTTGCTAAGCCATTCGGCATCAACTGAAGACGACGAAGTAGTTTGATGATTGCCGTGCTAAACACCGTCTTTCACTAGCGGCTGTATCCTGTAGCTCCTGTTCACTAGTGAGATGGGACCCACTAGCACTTGACGTCCTCGTTCTCCCTGCTGTCGCTCTGTTGGACCGTGTACGTACGCATTTGCAGGCCGTCGATGGCGCACCCTCCCAGCAACCCACTTCGGTGGCACTAGAAGACGCCCCGATCGATGTTGTCCCGGGAACCACTGTGGCGGAGCCGTCTGTGTCCGTGGCGGCTGAGGAGAGACCAAAGCAGGCAGACAGCGATACCGCTGGGGATGTGGATGTCACTGAGAAGGTGCCCGTGGCGGCGGGGTCGGTGTCCGCATTGGTGTCGGCGCTCGAGGAGAATTCGGCGGCGCCATCGGAGGAAGAGACGGCCGCCCCCGCCGTGGATGACGTACGGCCGTCGGCCACAGACGACCGTTCTCCTACAGTTCCTGTGGAAACGGCGTCCGTCGTAGTCGATGCATCCGTGGTCGTTGAGGCGGCACCTGTGGACCCTGCTGTATCCGTGGAGGATGCAGCGGCCGTGGTGTCGAGCGTATCAGGACCAACTCAGGCTGTCGTAGACGAACCCGAACCGGCGGTGGCGGCCGAGGTCCTATCGAGTACCGGTGGGTTCACGGAGGAGCCAGAGGGCACGAAAGCCGACAGCTTGCCGTGCTCGGCGCTGGTCGCAGAGGCAAGTGCTGCGTCCGTCGCCGTCAATGAGCCGGTCCTGTCTGGCCCGGATGGTGCGGTGCCGGAGGCTGTGGTGGACGTGGCGACGCCGGTGTTGGAAGTGGAGCCGGTGGCAGAGGTGGGCGAGGTAGCGGCCACAAGCTCTGATGCTGGTGCTGAGGAGGCCGACCCGTCTATGCCAGCGCTCGTGGACGATGTGTCTCCAGCGGGACCGGAGGAATCAGAGGCGGCGGACTTGGATGGTGGTGCGGTCGAGGCGCCGATCAAGGCGAGTGTGTGAAGTGTTTTGGTAGGGGTCGGGCTAGGCGTATTTGAAAGGTTATACATCAGTGCTCAAACGTGAGCGGTTATTACGATGTGTAGTCGAGATTGAGAGTTTGATGTGAAGAAGCTGTTCGACATCAACGTCGACGAAGTAGTATGAAGATTGCCGTGCTAAACCCCGCCGTTCACGCCATCGGGTGTATCCTGTGGCTCCTGCTTGCTAGTGTTGTGATACCAACCAGTACCTGATACCCTCGTCCTTGTCGCACTGTGGGACCGTGCAACTACGCGTCCTGCAGGACCTTGAGAACCAACCCCCCGAGCAACCCGCTTCGATGGCAGCCGGAGACGTCCCGATCGATGTAGTCCCGGGGGCTGCTGTGGAGGAGCCGCCTGTGGTCGTGATGGGTGAGGAGACACCGAACCAGACAGACAGCGAGGCCGCCGGAGACGTTCTGTCGAGCACGACTGGGGATGTGGATGCCACTGAGAAGGCGCCGGTGGCGGCGGGGTCAGTGTCGGCGCTGGTATCGGCGCTGGAGCAGAGTTCGGCGGCGCCATCGGAGAAAGAGGCGGCCGCTCCAGTCGCGGATGAGGTACGGCCGTCGGCCACCGACGACGCTGCTACTACAGCTCCTGCGGAGGCGACGTCTGTTGTAGGCGATGCACCCGTGGGCATCGAATCGGCTCCTGCTGACCCTGCTGTGTCCGAGGAGGACCCTGCGGACGCGATGTCGAACGAGCTAGAACCAAGTCCGGTCGTGGTGGACGATGTATCCGAACCTGTGGAGACGGGCACGGTCCCGTCGAGTACCGGCGGGGTCCCGGAGGAGCCAGAGGGTGCGGAAGCCGACGCCATGCCATGTTCGGCGTTGGTTGTGGAAGCGACTACTGTGCCTGTCGCCGAATCGGTTCTGTCTGGCCCGGGTGATGTGGTGCCGGAGACTGTGGTGGACGTGGCGGCTCCGGTGTTGGAAGTGGAGCCGGTGGCAGAGGTGGGCGAGGTAGCGGCGACAACGTCTGGTACTGATGCTGAGGAGGCAGACCCGTGTATTCCACCGCTGGTGGACGGTTTGTCTCCAGCGGGAGCGGAGGGAGCAGAGGCGGCGGAGTTGGATGGTGGTGCGGTCGAAGAGCCGATCGAGGCGAGTGTGTGAAGTGTTTCCGGTCGAGGTTATACTTAATTGGCGAGATTTGGACGTTTGGCGTCAATGTTGACACCTGAGCAGATGGTACGATGTGCACTCAGGATTAGGCCGGTAAGAAGAATGCAGACGTTCGACATCAGGCTATGACGACGAAAGTAGTTCGTTGGTCGCCCTTCTCAACGTCGTCGTTCACGCTATAGCTGTCGTATCGCGTGGCTCTCGCTCGCTAATGTTATTGTATACATCGGTGCTTGACATGCTCGTTCTCCCGCCTGTTGCGCTGTGGGACCCTGCGTGTATGTTTTGTTTAGGACATCGGTGGCACACCCTCCGAGCAACCCGCATCGGTGGCAGCGGACGACGCCCCGATCGATGTTGTGCCGGAGACTGGTGTGGTGGAGCCGTCTGTGTCCGTGACGGCTGAGGAGACGCCGAAGCAGACTGACGGTGAGATCGCTGGGGACGTTCCGTCGAGTACCGGTGAAGATGTGGATGCCACTGAGGAGGCGCCGGTGTCGGCGGGGTCAGTGTCGGCGCTGGTGTCGGCGCTCGAGGAGAGTTCGGCGGTGCCATCGGCGGAAGAGGCGGCCGTCCCAGTCTTGGATGAGATACTGCCGTCATCCACCGACGACGGTTCTCCTACAGCTCCTGCGGAGACGACGTCCGTTGTAGACGATGCATCCGTGGTCGTTGACGTTGCGGCCGTAGAGCCTGCCGTGTCCGTGGAGGATCCTGCGGCTGTGGCGTCGAGCGGTCCCGAACCATGTCCGACCGTCGTAGACGAGGTACCCGAACCGGCGGTGACGGACGTGGTCCCGTCGAGTGTGGAAGCCGACGATGGGCCATCTTCGGGAGTGGTTGAAGAGGCAAATGCTGTCACGGTGGAGGAGCCGGTGCTATCTGGCACGGGTGATGTGATGCCAGAGGCTGTGGGTGACCTGGCGACGCCGGTGTTGGAAGTCGAGCCGGTGTCGGAGGTTGACGAGGTAGCAGCCACGACGTCTAGTACTGATGGTGGCGATGCAGACCCATCTGTGCCAGCGGTCGTGGACGATTTGTGTTTAGCGGGAGCGCAGGAATCCGAGGCGGCGGAGTTGGATGGTGGTGCAGGCGAAGCGCCGATCGAGGCGAGTGTGTGAAGTGGTTATAGTAGCGGATTGGCCAAGCGATACTTGGAGGTTCTGCACTAATCAATGTGGAAATGTGGGCGAGCATGGTGATTGGCAATCAATATTTTGGCGGTTGTGTTGACATGGTGAACCCGTTCGACATCGGCCTTCGGCGGACAGTGTTTCGTTGGTGTCCTTCTCAACACTGCTGTCGTTTGCACTCGCCGTTGTATCGTTGTGGCTCGTGGTGACTAGTGCTAGGGTATCCACTAGCGCTTGACATTCTCGTTCTTCCGCTGTCGCTCTGCTGGATCCTGCATGTACGCGCGCGTTCTGCAGGTCGTGGGTGGCGCAACCTCCGACCAACCCACTTCGGTGGCAACGGAAGACGCCCCGATCGATGTTGTCCCGGTGACTGCCGTGGCGGAGCCGTCTGTGCCCATGACGGCTGAGGAGACACCGAAGCAGGCAGACGGCGAGACCACCGGGGACGTTCCGTCGAGCACCGGTGAAGATGTGGATGTCGCTGAGAAGGCGCCGGTGTCGTCGGGGTTGGTGTCCGCGCTGGTATCGGCGCTCGAGGAGAGTTCCGCGGCACCACCAGAGGGAGAGGCGGCCGCCCCAGTGGTGGATGAGGTACTACCGTCATCCACCGACGACGGTTCTCCCACAACTCCTGTGGAGGCGACGTCCGTGGTAGACGATGCATCGGTGGTCGTTGAAGCGGCCGCTGTGGACCCTGCGGCTGCGGCGTCGAGCGTGCCAGAACCAACTCCGGCCGTCGTGGACGAGGTACCCGAACCGGCGGAGGTGGAGGTGGTCCCGTCGTGTTCCGGCGAGGTCACGGAGGAGCGAGACGGCGCTGCAGCCGACGACGTGCCATCTCCGGCGTTGGCTGCAGAGGCCACTGCTGCCGAGGTCGCCGAGCCGGTCCTGTCTGGCACGGGTGATGTTGTGCCGGAGGCTGTGGTCGTGGCGGCCCCGTTGTTGGAAGTCGAGCCGGTGTCAGAGTTGGGCGAGGTAGCGGGGACGACACCGGTTATTGGTGGAGACGACGCAGACCCGTCTATGCCAGCGCTCACGGACGGTTTACCTTCAGCGGGAATGGAGAAGGCAGAGGCGGTGGAGTTGGATGGTGGTGCTGTCGAAGCGCCGATCGAGGCGAGTGTGTGAAATGGTTGTAGTAGCTGTTAAGACTGTTTGGGTGATTTTTGGAGGTTGTACGCCAAGGTGAAAATGTGTGGGAACGTGGCGATTTTGGGTCAAGATTGGGCCGTTCCTGTGGAAGCGATGAAGACGTTCGACATTGGCCAACGACGACGACGTAGCTTCTGTGGGTTGCCCTTTCAACCCCCTCGTTTATACTACCGGTTGGTGTCCGTGGCTCTCTATTTCCATGGTATGCCGCGGCGTGACGTCCTTGATCTCCCGCTGTCGCTCTGTTGGACCCTGTACGTAAACTTTCTGCAGGTAGTCGGTGGCGCAACCTCCGACCAACCCACTTGGGTGGCAGCGGAAGACGCCCCGATCGATGATGTCCCGGTGACTGCCGTGGCGGAGCCGTCTGTGCCCGCGCCGGCTGAGGAGACACCGAAGCAGGCAGACGGCGACACCGCGGGGGACGTTTCGTCGAGTACCGGTGAAGATGTGGATGTCGCTGAGAAGGCGCCGGTGTCGGCGGGGTTGGTGTCCGCGCTGGTATCGGCGCTCGAGGAGAGTTCGGCGGCACCACCAGAGGGAGAGGCGGCCGCCCCAGTGGTGGACGAGGTACTACCGTCATCCACCGACGACTGTTCTCCCACAGCTCGTGTGGAGCCGACGTCCGTTGTAGACGATGCATCGGTGGTCGTTGAAGCGGCCGCTGTGGACCCTGCGGCTGCGGCGTCGAGCGTGCCAGAACCAACTCCGGCCGTCGTGGACGAGGTAGCCGAACCGGCGGAGGTGGAGGTGGTCCCGTCGTGTTCCGGC